CTTACCACATGAAATTTGACTTCTCTCAGTCCTGTTATTTTTATGAAAGACTCTGCTATGCTAAATGTCAGGGATTGTCCCTGAGGAGCCAAGCTAACAGGTACTGAATCTGGCTTCACAGGTTTACTGTTTTCCATTGCCTTCCACTGTCTTGGACAGTGGCGGACCCTTTTCAGGTAGCAGTGGCTGAAGGAGAGCCTGTTGAAGTAACTGCTTCTGCTTTTGTTGTGCAGTTAATGTCTTTGTTTTCTGTGTACTTTTTGATGGATCATGGGGGTTTACAGAGATTTCTAGAACTTTCTTTTTTTTATTTCCTCTCCCAAGGTGATCTATGCCTGTTAATGTATCTCTGGTGCTAAGGAAAAAAAGAAAAAAATCACTGCCGAAAAAATAATACAATTGTTTGCTGGCAGGTAGAAAGGAGAAAATGTGATAATGGCTAAAATTCTAGCAGTGGCTTCTGGCACATTGACTCAGGGGTTGATGACAAACAGGTCAAAGCAATTGTTCCACTTCCTTGCTGACTCCTGGGTGTGAAGGGCTTCAGGGTGTCATTCTGTGATCCTTTAGTCTAACCCTTGTTGGGAAGGATGTGCTTTTCAGTTCTGGTACTGATTTTATTATTATGGAGAATGACGCACAGAAGAGTTCAGGCTGAGCCTTTGTCTCTAGATAGTTGTCCTGGGTTCAGCAGTAGCAGTCATTTTTCTCCTTCTCAGTGGCTGGTGCAGTGCTATGGTTATGACTTTCAGCCTGGGAACAGCACTGATAACACCATTGTTGCTCAGTAATGTTTAGTCCGACCAAGGACTTTGTGAGTCTCATGCTCTGCCAGGGAGAAGGAGAGGCCAGGAGGAAGCAGAGACAGGACACCTGACCCAGACTAGCCAAAGGGGTATTCCATACCACAGCACGTCATGCCCATGATGTAGAACTGGGATCAGATACCTGGAAGGGCTAGATCACTGCTCAGGTCGGGCTGGGTATCGGTCGGCGGGTGGTATCGTATTCTCTCCCCTTGTTATTTCCCTTATCATTATTATTATTGGTGGTAGCAGTAGTGGTTTGTGTTACACCTCAGTTACTGGACTTCTCTTATCTCGACCCGTGGGAGGTACATTCTTTCGATTCTCCTCCTCATCCCTCCAGGAGTGGAGGGAGGAAAGGGGGGGCAGTGAGCGAGGACTGTGTGGTTGATTTATGACTGAGCTTAAACTAGGACAGTAGTGATGAATTTTCTTTGTTATTTTTGGTTATGACTAGTACTTTAACTTGAAATTCAAGAGACAGTCTACGTTTTAATCTGGACAATCAGCAGTTCATCTGTGAGCCAGATGCTTTGCTATGGAGGGAGTAGACATCATTAAGAATTGCATAAAAATAGTTTAAGAAACTCTTCTGCACCCATTTGAGTGGTACATCTTCTAGAGTTGTTGAAGAAGCCACTCATGTTAAAACAATTTATAGATAATCTTAGTGAAACTATGGCTAGGTGGAACAGAGGGCTTTTCTTCTCCCTGGCCCTCTACAAAGTGCTGTGCTCATGGCAATATTAGGTATAGTGAATAATATTTCTATTCCTTTAACTCTCTGAGGTTGCTGTTGTATTTGATCAGTCTTCATGGAGTGTTTCTGCTGATGTTCTCAAATAATTTCAGTTGAAAGATCCAAAGTCTTCTGTTCAGATATCTGATGCTGTACCCTCTTAGAACTTGAATGATTAAGGAGTTTTTCTGCACTTACAAATTGTCACTCCTGTGGTTTTATGATCTATAGCCTGTGCCCTTCTGGTTTGTGTGGCCAGCTTATCCGCCTTTACGGTGGACTCTTACTGGTTTAGAAGATAAGCCTTTAACAGTTCCTGAACAGCAGATCCTTACTCTTTAGTATCATCTTGGCTTTCTTGAGAGATGTTACAGACCCTAAAAGACTTAAAACAGTTTACATACGATTTCTCAGAATCTTTATCTCCCTGGAATACCTTGTTCTTTATTCAGAATCTAGTGACTGCTTACTAGTAGCTGTGCTGAGCCCAGTTTATGGGATTACAGTAATGTTCAGATACGGCGAACGTTCCTCCCAGAATTGGTAGGACACTGACTTTCTACAGCTGAATTCACACAAATCCTTTCTGGGCATCTCTCTACTGTCAAGCTTTTGCTAATATTTCTCCCACCTCTCCTAGGAGAGTATCATCTGCAGTTCATGGCTCATGGGTTATTGTTCCTCTGGTTTGATTGGCCTAAAATTGAAATAGAAAAAGAAAAGCTGTTACTATTTTGGAAATAAAACTTAGGTTTGCAAAACATTTTTCATCATTTTACTTTTCCTAAGCAAATCCAAACCTTTGCAGTATTGGTATGTTTAAGTCAGTGGAAAAAAAATATTTCAAATTTGGAATGAAAGCTTCAAGCAGTCAGATTCACTGGTTATAACCCCATTCAGCTCACTAACAAAGTGCTCCATTTGGAACTAATCAGAGCTTTGTGATTTTTCTAGGCCAGTTTGAAACTGCTTTCCTTTGATGTGTGGCTGAATCAGACAGTATTTGAGCTCAGTCATTCAAGACATATGGGCTAAATTAATCTTTACCAAATATATAAAAAATTAAGTCTTTACGGAAAGAACTGTATGTTATGTATAAACGAGATGCAAACTTCAAACTGCACGTGATGCTTATAGTAAGGATGATGGAGAGAAGGGAATACGAGATAAGAAGCAATATGTTGTAACAAACTGCTTGCTTAGAGGTTTTTCTGAAGCCATGTGGCTATGTTCTTACTCAGTTTCATGTAAGTGTTTGTATTTGCTGACTGTTCTGAATATTTAGAACCTGGTTGTTACGGATAACATAGTCTTGCTTGAATCTAATTTTCTAGCTTGCTGTGTTACTTGCTTGCTCTTATGACATCTCCCATGGCCAGGAGAATGGTGGTGTCAATGCTCAGTCTGCTGGAACTTCCTCTCAGCAGCAGTCCATTAGAGTGAGTGTTTAATCAGCTCCAGAAGAGAGCTGTGGGATAAGCTTGGGTAAAGGCTGACTCTGGCAAGGAGACTTAAGCTATTCTTCACCCTCTGCCCCCCCCCGATTGATGTTTAATGGCTGGTCTTCCTTATGGAAAAGCTTGGTATTAAGGTTTTGTTACTGCTGGAAAGCTGTGCTGAAGAACCATACAAGTAAACTTTATTTTTTGATCAAAAAGTAGACTTAACAGTGTTGACAAGGAAAGCAGGTACTTGTAATCCTGCTGTCTTCTGACACTCGCCTGACCTTCAAATTGATTTCTTTGCATGTATAAGCTTTCTTATGGATGTCAAGTATACCAGGCCTCTCACTTGGGCTACTGCTTTAAACTGTATATAAATCTATAAACGTCAGTCTTAAAATGGAGCTTACAATAGGTAATTTTAGAGTAAGGATGTGCTATTTTTGACTTGCATTGTGTATTCTGGCTGATGTCGATGTTTAAGGCTAATGGTAGGGTGAGCAAAGTATTGTTTTAAGCTTAAATTGTTCTAAGTCACACCAGTCTCACGTAAACAGGGTCTGAGAGAGCCTTTTTCCTTCCAGGGACCTTTAGTCACTGGTATTGGTTACCGTGAATAAAGGATAGCTTCTCGTGATGTGGAGACACAGGTTTTCTCCTGTGATTTGTGAAAGGCTGAAATCAATGCTAAATTCTCATTACAGCTCTCCATACCAGGATTTTTCATTGATTTAAAATGTGTGAATTGAAATTCAAGTGATGCATTAGTATGAGTGCTTTTGTTAGTCTTAACTACCTCTTTAGAGCACGCTTTCCTCTTTAAGAGATTTGAACCCTTGTGTTCAGTGCTGCTAATGTAACTGTTCATCCACTCCTGCTTCTCATTACCTAGAAAACCAGAGTAATTGCCTTGCTTATGAGGCAGGCATTGAATGTTATGCTACAAGTAATAGATGTGTTTTTGTTGCTACATAACTTTGAATGCTCTTGTGGACAGCAGCTTGTGGGCAGTGCTCAGTTCTGCCTCTTCTAATGACTTCTGTGTTTTTAATGTAGCTTTAATGGTGAAAGTAAGTGTTGTTGTGCTAAATGCAGTTTAGAAGGTAGGTGAAGGCCATGAGGTCTATTTTGATGATGCAGCTTTCTGTTTGGACATTTTTACTGTGCTATTTTTCATTGAAATACCATCACGATAGCAAGCTTTTAAAAGGCAAAGACAATTTTTATTTTTATTTATTTTTTTCCCACTAAATTGAAATACATTTTTGTATTCTGCGTGGAAATACTTTGAAATGCCCAGAACAAGGAATTCTTTCACCACTTCCCATTGGCTGGTGACTTGGGAAGACAAATGCCATCACTCTGATCATCCTCTGGTTCCTTCTTATCCCTCAGCTTTCTATGCTGAGCATGATGCCATAGGGTATGGAATATCCCTTGCATTCAGCTGTCCTGGCTGTGTCCCTTTCCAACCCCTTGTGCACCCCCAGCCTGCTCACTGCTGGGGTGAGAACCAGAAAAGGCTATGTCTAAGCACTGCTCAGCACTAACTAAAACATCCCTGTATTACCAACACTGTTTACAGCACAAATCCAAAACACAGCCCCATACCAGCTACGATGAAGGAAACTAACTTTATCCCAGCCACAAACAGCACGTAGACGTAACAAAAATGGGATGCGTTTTCTTCTTGAAGAGTTTAAGAACTGCAGTGTGGAGAGGTTAAGGATCTTGCAATATCTCTACAATTGACTGCTGTGTGACTATTGTTTAACAAAGAATTAAACATTAAGTAGCTTTGTAGATTAGCCAAAATAATCTAGATTTGTGAATAGCTGCTGACTGAAACAACTCCCCTGAGCTGTTACTTGTGGAATATCAGTAGTAACACCCCTTGGTTCTAGAAGAGGCAAACTTCTGACTGCCGTCAGAGTGGTTCTGCTCACTCTGGAGGAAGGTGTGATGTTTGCACATTCCCTCAGTTTATTTTATTGGATTTTTGTGTCTTTCCAGGTCACGCCAAGGCCCGAGACCCCCATCAACAGTGTCAGCAACAGTCTGGAAAATGTACTACATACATCAACACATTCCATTGAGGAGTCATTACCCAAGAGGCCTTCGGGGAAACACTCCAAAGGTGTGTCCTTTTCTACATGCACACTTCCAATGGGGGAACAAAGTCATGTATCTTGGTGGCAACTGGTGTTATTTCAATTGTGATTGGAGACTGGAGTTTTGCTTCTGAGCAAAGGAAGCCACAGAAGGGGTCTTGTAGTAAGGCTATCAGTGAAAAATGGTCATCAGGAGACAAGTATGTTTATTTTTCTGTTGCAGAAATAAGCAAGAGCATTCCTTATAAGTTGAAATACCAGCTTAGCTCTCATGGACTATTGTATTCTCAGAGTGACTATCTCTTGACACTCCACCTCTCATTCTTATAGTAGCAGGTTATTTCTTGGATGAAACATATGGTGTGTTGCTTTACTGGGGAGAGAGGAGAAGGCATTTGAAGCAGCAGTTAGGCTTCTACTTCCACCTCTCTCTTAGTTCCAGAATGTGTAAGTGAGAAGCTGGGGGAAGAGGAGTGGAAGACAGGAGAGAAAACTTGCACCTTTTTCCTACTCAGTGTGCACCCTGAATGCTGTTACAAAATAAGGCTTTATTTTTGCAATGCTGACCTGGCTAAAAGCTGGGCTTAGCAAATTAGCATTAACAAGTACGCGTTCCATTTCCACACTCCAGGCTATGATTACAAATATTAAAATGTTGAGGTGAAAATGTGACTAATAGTAATTTTTTTTTTCAATGCATATGAAAAGCACTGTTAAGTGAGGAAAGCCTTTGAACTGTGAGCTGCTGTTTGTAGTAGCAAATAGCTACTTTTTGTGGTATTAATAAAAATATTCTCTATGGCAGAGCTAATGTAGGGGAAATGCACCATCCCATTAGCAGCACTAGTATATAGCCTTTAAATGTAACTAAAAAATATTGCCATGGACCATATAATTTTTGTTTTTTAATTTGGAGTTTATTTTTATTTGGAGTTGGTCTCTGCCACTGGCTTTCTGCATCACTTTGCAAATATAGTTTAATGCCACATAAATGGTGCTGAAGAATTTCAAAGCACATCTTCACTCAGAGGAGCTGGTGTGGATCAGAAAGGGTTACATATCCCAAGAAAATGTTCTTAGCTTGCCTGGACCAGGCCTCCTTTTCTGTGACACACTCAACTAGAATCCCAGAAGCTGCAAGCAGCAATAATATTTTATAGCAGAATAGTGCTGTAAGTAGCTATTTCTCCAGCTGTAAAAACCATCAGGGTAGAAGAAAATGCACCACTAAGCAGAAGCATGGCTAAGGTTTGTGGCTTTCTTCTGATTAAAAATAGGACAGGGTTCAACACTGTTTTCATTTGTACTCAGTGATTGCTATTCCAGTACCATATATGCCAAGATTAGTCATGGAGCACTGTGAAAATTAATTAGGTTTTCCTCTGATCTGTTTTTCTTTTATAGAATATCTCCTTAGTTTTCAGAGAATGTAGCTTTTTAATTTATAGATTGCCTTAGAGATAGTCGGAAAAGGAGTCATGAAACAAATACAATTTTCTTACTAACTGATAACTCTGCTATCTGATTCACAGCAGGAAAGATTGTGTCGAGTTCTCCTTGATGTACAATGTGTCTGGTAGGGAGTTCTGCCTCTTCGGGTTGGAGTAACACTGAAGATTATTTGCCAGCCTGGAGCCACCATTGCTCACTTAAATTTCTGATTCTCATAGCAAACAGACATCTTTTAATTTGGCAGGACCCACAGACTTTTTAACCTAGAGCATATGAAATTGTCGTGCGAGTATAGGATGGACAGGTTGCATGACCACTTGTGTAATTCTTGTGTTGGTATTTTCTAGTGAGCCTTGTTTCAGAGAGCTTGAGAGGACAGGATTGCTTCTCACGGGCAGAAAGTAGTGAGCTGCCTAAGTCAGTCGTTCCACTTTTGGCAGAGTACTGGAATTGAAAGTGTCTCAGTTAAAAAGGCTGTAGCTGAAACAGAAGAAAAATGAGCAAGTTCATGAAAGGTGCAGTATCCGTTGTGCTTAGATGGATTAGAGACAGTTTGTATTAATCCAGTGACTGGTTTTAATCCTGATTTGCAGAAATGTTAGTAATTTAACATACTCTGTACGTGGTTGAACAGAGAATGGCTTTGTAGTAAGCTTGGACCTGAAAGCTATCAGTGGCTGTACCTCTCCTAAACCACACTTAGAATCTAGCTTTTAGTATAAAAGATTTCTAGTTTGTATATTGAAGACAGATGAGAAGAGTGGAGTATATTGCTGAATACTCCTGTACTAACTGTGGTGAGAGTCTGTACGCAGTTCTGTTTGCATCAGGTGGTTAATTGGAAACATTCATGCACGCTTCATGTAGAGACTTGTCAAATACATAACTTCTGAACAATTTCACCATCCTACCTGCACAGAATATTGCTGCCTTGGGAAACGAATTTATACGATGAGTGTCCCTGAGAAGCCTTTATTTCAGAGGCCCAGCTAACTGTGGGAACAGTGTCAGGCACTGGGCTCCTGGATCCATACTGTAATGCCCAAGTTGTTGGGAGTGGTGACCAGCTGGGGGCAATCATATGGTTATTTAGCAAAATTCATCGATTTTTATACTGGTCCTTCAGTCTTAGTTAAAACCCCCTCTCTTTTCTGCGTGTGTCGGTGCTAAAGCAAGGCAAACCAGATGGACATTTCTGCAAAGTAAAAGTTAAGACACTAGGCACATCATGTAGCTGTTAACGTAAGCACTTCGGATATCTGCCCTTTATCTGGACTTTAATTTGTAAAATAAAGTTAAAAATTTGTCCTATCCAGTTTAGAAAAATTGTGGATGGGTATTGACATAGAAGGATGTGAACCTCTTTTGGACTCTAGTAGCTGTAATATGCATTATGAGTTGTGCTTTTTACTGATCTCTCTTGGTGATTGAGGGTTGTTCAAACCTGTTCCCACAGATGTGGAAGTCAGTTGAAGGTAACTTCAGGAAGTGGAGGCTTTCCCTATTCTCAGTGACTGGCTGTTGTGCTTGTAAGCTGCACACAAGCAGAGGTTTTAAGATACTGACATCTCACAGGTCAAGGAAAACATAGGTAAATACAGACTGTTGTGATAACCGTAATTCCAGGCATGATACGTCGCTGTATCTTTGTGGTTTTTTCCACTGTTTCTAGAATCTAGCCAGGTTTTAACTACGGCTTTAACACTGATCTGAAAAAAACAGTTAAATTCAGATGAGGGTTGGGCATCTTTTGCATACTGTGTGAGCTGAGTATTTTTCTATCTTTCTTGTCATGCCCTAGACTTTTTCCTACAATACTACAAAAGTTGAACCAGTGCAAACATAGCTGCAGGTGTCCAAAACTGGAATCTACATTTCTGACATGAAGATAAGATTTCATGCTTGCAAATGCTTGCCTGATAGGCGCATACTTTAGCAACAGTGCAGCTGCATAGTAATGGTCCCATCTGTAGGCAGGTTTGTGTTTCCCAGCACAATAGCAACAAAGTCAGCAAACTTATTGCAGGTATTCTGATTCTGGTTGTCTGAAACTAAGGATTTTACCTTGCATTTTATGGAGAGCCACCTCAGACCTTTTCCTGGTTTCTGACCTGGGTGGTTAAAGAAGGTCACTGGTTAAAAATATAATACTCACTAGCAACTTATGTTTTGTGGGCAATCCTGTGTTGGTAGCTAAGGGAAATGGAATTACCATGTCAAAGTCCAGAAGGAGCTATCAGACCTAGGGGAAGTCCCACTCACAGAGCTAATCTGTAACAAGCCTATTGATGTAGAGTTGTTCTGATCTTGTGTGGCAGTTCCCAAAAGGGAGTAGTTGTGTGCCAAAGCTGAATGAAAAATTCAGCTTATTTTGTATTTTAAAATACAAAAGTGATAGGAATTTCCTCTCCACCAGAGATGTTATTAATTATTCCTACTGTGTGGTTCCAAGCAGAATGATTTGGCTGATAGGTGAAGATCACTGTAGGCAAATACTACTCTGTGCATGTGACATATTTTAGCAATGTATGAAATATGCTCAGTGGTCACAGCATATTTTCCAAAAGCACAGTGGAATAAAGAATATTAGACCAGATGCTGAAGTGCAGAACAAAAGAATGTTTATAATAAAGGCAGTGTAAGTCGCAAAACATCACCATGCAGTCTTCATACTGTAATTTCTCATAATACTGAGTAAAATTTTGATTTGTCACAGCCTCTGTTTTAAATTTTCTGCAGTGGAAGTTCTGTGCTGGTATTTATAAGATGCTCATTGCTGCTATGAGGCTTTGCAGGTGGCACTTACCACTGGTTTCCTCCATAAAGCAGTCTGGAAGATGGTTTGCTTGACTGAGCAAGTCCCATTTTGTGCAAAGTGACAAAAAAATCCCCTATTCTTGTCTTTCCTGTATATTTATCTTGCCTTTCCGCTGTTGCCACACAAAACCTCAAAATTGTTTCCCAGCCAGTCTGATTTCAAATGAAGCAACTGTTGAAATGTGATCCTTATATAGTGAAGCTGAATCACAATCCTTGCAACACATGCATCTAATGATAGACACAGACTGCTTTCTGTGGACAGAGAGGAGTAAAGATGTAAAATGGGTGCAGCAGGCTTTATTCTACAATCTGTACTCTATTTTGGTACTCCTGCTGAGCACAGTAAAACTTCTTCCTTAATTGAAGGTCCTGTTAGCCCACATACAGGTTTCTGGAAAGCTTCAACAGTGTGCCAGGCTAGAATAAATACACAGAATAGCACATGACTTACTGGACAAAGGCTGCTGCAGTTTGTGGGCATGAGGAAAAACAATCTTGAGAGAAAATACAGTAGTGTATTGATATAATTTTGAGTTAATACTAAATGGTAAAATGTATTCTTGTTTGCAGCAACCCTCTTGACCTCAGGTAGGGTACGAGTTGCAGGTAGGTTAAACTGATTGTTATGTGCAGCAAGCTTTGGTATCTGAACTTGCATTACAGTAGTCAGTTGAAATGTGTGGTGTATTCTATCCAGAACTTCTAACCACTGTTTTTGCTACCTGATTTATTTTCCTTGGCAAAATGTATTTGT